TGTCACATAGCCAACAAACTAATTAATATGGAATTGTGGCACACTCTGTAATAGCTTTAGTCATTTGTTAGTTGTGAAACAGTTGGTGCTACGCTAGCGCTTCAGGACTGAACAAACCAAATATGAATCCACTGTCTGCAATCGTGTAGGCTCGTCTGTTCGAATTCCTGAAACCTCCTCAGAGGAGACATTTAAAATGAGAAGACATCTGACTGGTGCTTCTTCACGTCTTACCACTATTCAGCTGCTGGTACTAGTGAATGAGTCCAGCAACCTGAACATACGGAGGCGTCGTGTTACCCATCAGATCTACTGTCCAAATCTACTGGATTCTGACTTCGAAATCTAGTTAATTTGTAATCTAGCACCAACACCATACATCGACCGTCACCTTCACTTATCTGTTCTAATGCATGCATTTATTATTTCAAATGTCGTCATTTCACTCGGATATTCCGAAAATCCATCTGGTTGTTGATCACTGATGAGCATCAGGTTGTATTTGCAGTGATGAGTACATTTTATCATTCACATGAATTCCGGGTGGAATTCACTGCGTCAGGTAGTCGTGAAAATGAGAGGCGATAGGCATTCCAACTATTCCACCTAAACTATGCATTCAAAAGAAGTTCGAAAAGCCACTATCCCTCACTTGGCCTGTTGAGGCCTAACCGACTGACTGATAACTTCTCCACCACCCCTTACTTGTATTTTCAACCCCTCCTCTCTTGTCATCCCTTAATCTTACCACATCTTCACTGAAACATATTCTATTTACTTCCCCTACAATCTAGAACTACTTAATCGGTTCATTCGTTTTCCTCAGCCTTTACCGACTACTTCACCTGAACATTTGTTTCTTTAATCATGATGATGTTTTTCGTTATTCGTGCTATCACAGATCGCCTCACTTTTTCATTCTTATTATTGATAGAACCATTATTACTTATATGACTAATTACACAATTTATATTCGCTATCTTATTACCCCACAGACAAAACACCATGATGAGTTTATATTTGAATTTTTATTTGTAAAGTTATGTATATTAGAGTTGAGCCTGATGACATCTAATTGAAAACAATATTATTCGCTTGAATGTGTTGTTCTAAATTTTACTAAGGGAATATTCATTATTTGCTAGTAGACTGTGCAGTATCATTTGCGAAATAAAGAGGAAAACTATGCATACATTTGTCCGAGGTTCGCTGTGAAACGCATTCAGAGTGAAATCACCATCTACTTACTGTCATTAGCCTAACACTGACAACGCAGGCAAAAATTACGAATTCCGAGGTTCACGATCCTCAGGGTACAAGTCAGTCTACCACCTAATAGCACTCTCCAAGTGGAATCATTTCACACATCTTCCTTTCATCACACTAACATCGAAGTATGCGAATCACCCACAGAATCACTCCCACTGAATTCCTCTCTATTTCAACAATCAACGGTCACAACTCATAACACTAGAAAGACGCATCAGAAGGCAATACTCCATGGCAATTGCTATCGCTTTATTGAACACAATTTTACATATCTCTCTCGTCAAAAGGGAATACATGTGAAGAGGAGGAGCAGAAGAAGAAGACGAAGGAGAAGAAGAAGAAAGCGAAGACGGAGAAGAAGAAGCGGAAGTGTCATGAAACATTCGTTGATAAACGACCATTTTAATGTCAACACAGTCTATCTGACATGATGAGTGCTCAACGGTTGCGAAATATGAACAGGAGATCAAGGAAGGAAGCAAATGGTTCATAGAATGTAAGGTATCTCCTCCTGGTGAGGTAGACTTGATCACAGGTGAGACCTCCTACGAAGCCGCGGTAGTTTCGCTTCAGCGCTGAAATAATAAAAGATCACTATGCTGTTTAGTATATTAAAATATTATAATCATATGAAGCGGATAATACAAAGTGTAGAGATCATGAAACTATGTCGGTTATCTTACTTCGATATGGAAGGTTGTCGTGGTCCAATATACTGAATGTTCCTAATGTATGCAGGTATCCTTGTGCTAATCACCTGTTATCTTTACATTTTGTGCAAACAGTTAATGAATTACATATAAGGCACTTTCTCCTGCTACGCTGTCAACTTATCGAAAATGTCCTCCTAAGAATATAATGTTAAATAAGTACAAACTGCTAATAATAATCACAATCATCATAATAATAATAATGTTTGTTGTAGGACTAGTCCTCTTTTATTTGATTTAAATATTATCATGTAAAATGACTCAGCCAGAAAATCTCAAATCAATCGATTTGTTCACTATCAGACTGATAAATAACATTCTTCAAATCGAAGACATATTTTCCGTTAGATTATACAAGGTGGTTAAGACTGATGAAGTTATCAGTCTTATTAAGCTTGACAAAGCAGATAGTATACAACTCAGGGTAGACTGATGAAAAAAAATAAAAAAGACTTTCGGTGAGATTTTTACACTTACAGTTTAAGCATACTGATCACTGTCTTCTTAGTCATTTGGAATGCCACGTCAAAATGGGGCTAAACAAGAGAAATTAATAAGTTAATTTCAAATTACTTTAAATAGATATCTATCGTATGAATGCACCATTACACAGATGGTGGGGATGTCGTTCAATCGTTTAACCATTTGATTTCTAGTTAATGGGTCACAGATTCGAGTGCTGCATAACTCACTGGCTACTATCATCAATCTGCTAAATGAAAAATCTATCCGGCATATTTGAGCTTAAACAAAAAAGCTAATCAGTACACAGACCTGGAATTATCAGATACATGCAGCATTACACGACAAGCTCAACACTCAAGCAATAATCTTTCAGGCTCTCGAGCACTACTCACAATGGCACTCGGAATTCAGTCTCACTATCATATCACAAATTTAGAAATATTAAATAAAACTAATTCATGAGGAACAAAACTATCAGTTGAGACATAAATAAACTTTGATTACAGATGAAGTTGTAGAAGAAATGCAAAATACATCTCTGGACGAGACCTCATCGTTTACGACGACTCGTCGTCGCAGTTCTTTTTAGACCGACCAACTAAATGGTCCGATCAATAAACAGTGAGCCAAAAGACGTCATTTTGCTTACTAGCGACTGGCCTTATTCAGGCAGTTACCTGGGATTCTAGTGGGATGCCATGACCAGCAGGGTACAGCAGGTTGAAGGTGAGGCAGTAGCTCATCGAAGAAGACATTGCGAATTGGTCGCGCCATGTCATGAATTGACAGAAGTTAGAATTTAAGGGTCATTGGGTCGGGTCCTAGTGGCTGCCTAATGGTCTACAAGCTCGCTGGCCTTGTAACCAGGAGGACCTGGGTTCGGACCCCGGTGGGTGCGTGCTGCTGTGGGGCCCAAACCAGGGCGAAACAACTGTCCAGTACTCCTAGGTTCTCCAATGGTTCTCTAACTGATGTCATGCTCAAGATGAAATCCCCCAACCAATCAAACGGAATCCCTACAAACCAATACTTGAAAATAAAAAAATAACTGAATTAAATCAAATTACGTAAGTATTATATTGCCTAAAGGGAAGCAAACGTTTCTTACCTTGCATAATAAATATAGTTTCGGACAAGTCATGCCGAGAACAAACGCTGAAAAACAAAATGATCATTACAGAAACATTAGCACGAAGTTACTATAGAATAATGAGGCAACTACCACATTATGTAGAGCATATTATCATTTCGATAATCACCATAATTAATTGTTAAGAAACATACTAAATTAAAGCCCGGTATCAAGTGATAAATTGATATTTATGCAGTCAGTCAGCAGTTCTCTGTGAAACTGACTAACTAACTGGTGGCCAGAAGTTAAAGCAGGTCAAAAATATTAAGAAACCGCAATGACTGAGGTTTCCTTAATGATGAATAGTAGTGGATATTGTATTTTAAACTAAACTTAGGAAAACATTTTGTAATGTCAACGATAAAGTTATCGGCTGCTTCTTTGCGAGACATTGAAGTGTCTCGATTCCTCCACGCTCTTCGTTTCTCTTATAACTTAGCTGCTGAATAACGCTTAAGTTCGTCACTGTACTGCAGACGGTGAAGTTTGTTCTCAAGAAAGTGAAAGGGCGGATTTCCTGAACTTATGATCAACAGACCGATTGACATAGTGACTACGTGGAGAAAAACCTTACTCGAAACCTATGGTGAACATGATTCCCTAGATTCGAAGGCAGTGAATGGCGTTTTGGTTATTGGCAACCATGTCAGACGCCTGGACGTCGATCCATTAAGGCGGATCATGTAACAACAATCAATGGAAAACTTTACCCACATAAACACTCACTAATTACTTCATCAATGGTATATTTAAACTATTGATCATTCATCATGATATTCATGCATATATATATATATATATATATATATATATGAAGCGGTGGTTGAATTCACACACCAGATAACACTAGACTTACCGATGGTTACCACGGTGAGCAAATTAAACCAAGAACCTACTACCGAAAGTAGGTATAAACACACAACGAACTGGAAAGTAGCAATGATAAACAGATAAGAGTAAGAAAATTTGCAAGTTAACATAAGTGAAATTAATAAGACAATGTAGATAAGGTATTTCTTGACAATAGGGAAGATGACAAATAACTCTTTTTAAGTAGAAAACTTCTTCTCATCAGTTAGAACAGTTATCTGGATGTGAGTTATGCTTATTCTGTGACGGTTAGAGATATTACTCAATTGTTCAAGCTGAAATACGTGAGAAACTTTTTTTTAACAAAAATATTCTGCATTAAATAGCTGGCTGACGCCAATGCATCAAACGAATTGCTTCATAAGAAGCTCTAAGCAATTACATCTTATCAGATGGTAAAAAGACAATCCTGTCAACTCTTTTACAAGAGATGTTATTACGGAGTTAACAGATAAATCTACAATTAGCATGTCATATTTTGGTCATCTTCCTTAAATTACTAAAGGAAAAGTGGCAATTATTGGTAATTGCTGAAGTATTGTTGTTACATTTACCTTAGCAGTCTCAAAGTAGTCTTGCAACCAAATAACGCGACGTAAATAATTCAAATTTTCGGACAACTTTTCACACAGAGCTGGGACACGCTCGGCAATCTTTTCTTCTGGCAAAGTGATTTTCAATTCAAGCCAATATCTAAAAGAGCAGATAATATAGAAAGAAAAACTGTCACACAGAGATAGAAAAACTACAATGTGAGGGAATGTACTAAATTACTGGAATTTTCTTAATGGTAGGGAATATTGCATCGGCTACTGTATTATACATTTCGCAGAAGAACAAAATGACAGGTACGCAAATAGACATTCACATCCTGTTAGTTCTAATATAACAACAATTATCGTAAGTAGATTTATAGTAAGTAAAATCGAATGTTACACACTGATAGTATATATCTACTAATTCAAATCAAGGAATTCTATTTTGATACATTTAGCACTCCATTACTTGCAACAGAATTATGTACCAAACTGTAAGCTACATACTGTGTGAGAACTAGTAATACAACCGAGTTGTCTAGGCTTAAATAAATTCAACGGGATTCCTATCCGGGACCCATTGACTGAAAGTTGAGTGCACAAGCCAACGAGCTACAATCTTTACTAAACAATCATTTGTTTACCGAAGATATCTCAACTTCAAATGCTAAAAAGTATAACATTTCTCTGGTGGACTTTTTTTCACTAGAAATTAACACCCTTAATTTTTAAACTCAATGAATGAAAACATTGTATCTGATCAACTTTGAAGAGACTTGTTTGATTTCACCTTATATGTTTGAGCCAGAAAAAGTGAGATGTGGGTTACCAGTAATGAAACAACTTCATTTAGTACGATAGTAGTGTTTAATAGGCTGGGATGTATTGTCGCTTACATACTTGCATAGGTAATAGTGTTCCGACAGAAATAATTGGACAACCAGAGATATAAGAGATAAAATTTCATCAGAATCAAACTTACTGAAATGGATCTTTAGATGAATTTGATTTGAACGGAAGAGTAATGGCATTATAAAACTTCCAAGCAGCAGTGCAGCATATTAACGACATCCCGGCGTAGGCGATAAAAGATATTAGGGACATACAAGACAGACTCAGAAGCGATGTCAACCCAACAGCCGCGACTATTCCTGATTTGATGGGCTCATGCCAACTAACAATTTCCTTCACTAAATTAAATAAGAATTACCGAAATCATTTCAAGTGGGAACGAAATTTTACTCACAGTATATTCACAAGATTAAGACTTGAGAAATGTTTAGCCTACAGAATCTCATCTGGTATTACCAATTATCCTCTGCAGTGAAGCCGGGAGATAATTTTTAAACATCACAGCCCTGTATATGAATAAATAGGAACCTTAATGCCGAACATGTGTTAATCTAGAGATTCATCTTTCGTTTATGTAACTTGGTGCATATATATATATATATATATACTTTGTTACGTCAGGACTGGCAGAACCAATTTCTACAAAACTGAATGAGTAGATCTATTCAAGTTGTATCAGAAGAAAATGCAACAAATGTAGTAGTGAGTAGAAATGGCAAGATCTATAAAAAAATATGAAGCGGATGTTAATATCCCATCGCCTTTCTCTTTAGACTACGTTGTTCGATAAGCTTAGTGTTATGCTGAGATTAAATCACATGCCGGACAGTCTTTATGTACTGCGGTGTCATGCAGTAATTTTCTCACCTGAGACCAATTAATAAACTAATTCATATGAAACTAACTAAAACCCAGCAGCCATTTAGGTACGATGGAAACACTTATCTCTACCACACAATCTTACGACAAATAGTCATGAATCCATCCACACGGCAATATTTTCTCACTCGAAGAAAATCATGGGAGTTTCCCTTTTTGAAGCTTCCATGATAAATACTTGGGCAGATGACTAATACAATAGTGTAAATACCAGCATTTGGACAAAGAATGAAGTTTTCAGAACAATCACACTGGATATGTTCAGGAACAACCTACCTAAATCTAAAAATGCTGGGATTTACCACAGTCACAGAAACGTGAGAGGATAAAATCAGAGATTTCAGGAGACGCGTAACTCCCATGATTAGTAACAATAATGAGAACACTGTAGCCCTTAATACTGTGTCAAGCAAACAAGGTTACATTTTGACCTCCTCGCTTAATTTCACGAACTTATGAGAACCGGGAACAGTCAAAAAGGAAACACGAATATGACTATCTTTGAATGAAAGTGAAAACGTATAGGTAACCCACCGAAATTCATTGCCGTTCCGCGGTTTGTAGAACGTGAACAACTGTGATGTAAAAAGTACCTTCGGAAGAAATTCAGAGGCCACCGGAATCTAGAAAAAGAAATGATAGATGCTTCTAGTGAATTTGCAACTCAAATTAAGGGTATCTGACAAATATAAACAGTGATGCAAATGGACCACTAAAAAATAATATTGTGAAGTCATCATTCATAAACCTGGACATATGACACTGATGTAGAGTTCAAGATACTCACCAATAAATGCTTGCTTATATGTAGACACATTATCAATTAGTTCTGAGAGACTTGTTAATCACATCGAAAAACGATAAATACACGCTAAAGTACTCACCTATGCTACGGCAAAGCGAAGACCAACACAAATAATTGAACTGCAGTTAAGAACACGCCGCCAGACACCAAACGGTCGACTGAAGCAGCCGGTCGTTAGCCCTAATCTCGTGTGCCCGAGGAACAGATAAACAAGCTAATATTCGCTTGTGATTGGTCAGTTTGTTGTCTGAGTCGCGGTAATTTCAGATTCTATAAAGCTGTCAAGGTGAGGATTGGGGCTATCGCGATGTATTTTCGCGCATTGTATGGGTTATCGTGTTCATATCTATTGAGGTGTTATAAGCGTTTACTTTTGCAAAAAATGGGTATAATTAAGCAGTTTTAGGCTTCTGTGGCCGAAGAAAGCAAAATTTTCCTGTATTGTGGTTGTATTAACGCGTGATATTGCCTTGATATCCCAGACGAATTATTACAAAAATACACATGCATTTAGAGAAATTGTGCATAAAAATGACTATTACTTTCGTCTGAGGGCCTTAAAGCTTTGTTATTTGCTAGCTGTTTTAGATTTTAGTTTGTTAATTGAGTACAGACATTGATTGTTCTCGTAGCAGTTAATCTATGAGAATCAAGCAATTGAAAGAGAATGAGCCCATAGACATAAGTTAGATGTATGTTCTGAGGAGCCAACGCATTTTTATTTTCATACGTGATGAGTGAAATCTTCCATGACACATCGAAGAAATCATACGATGGATTTTCGCTCGTCTTTGATGGTCATCTTAGTGAAGGGTTCACAATTTAGCATGCATGATAACCTGTTCTAACTTCTTGTACAGTAAATGAGCAATTTGATCTTTTGAAAAAGTATGATATTTACAATTTATAACATAGATTATTGCACCTGCAGAAATGGCATGCATTCCTTGTGAACGCCCGTTTATACGACATATTAAATTATTATTATTTGCTTGGTGCTATACTTTAGAAGATGAACAATGCGTGTGACAGTGAAAACCACAGAAGAATGCTGTCATGACCAAAGAATGAGAAAGGAGAATGAGCCTTTTTCTGCAAAGGTAGGCAAATATAAAGCGTTTAACTTTTACATTACTTTTCTCTAACTTCAGCGATTTAAAAAGTACACTTTATTCACTTATTGGCAGATGTCCGGAAACGTCAATCAACCTGGTCACAGCAATTCGACATCGCCGAAATAATTACGGAAAACAATTGTGCAAAGACATTTACTTGTTATTATTTTTCATCAAATATATTAAACATCCTGCTTACCACACTTTTCTTATTCTATCTGAGTGAAACTAAATTTGTCATCATGACGAGATGGAGGCCTGACTGATCAATGAGACCCGCGAATGTAATTAGTAACATAATTCAATGTAAGCGAAATACTGCTACGATTGTTGCAGCTCCATCTGCTCAATTATTCGTCTCATGAAGACTTCATTTTGCATTAAACGCTTACACGCGTAATCATATGGATTGAAATCACGCTTTACGAAATTGAACTTCACCGCAGTGCCTAATTTCTGTTCTCATTTTTCAGATACAGAGGTTAGGTTATTTTGCAATTGGTCTCTACAGATTTACCTATGGCTTGGACATGTAATCACGTAACTTTAGGCAGATATCTGTCTAGGCTTGACTGAATTACTTATAACTAACCACTTATACTGATCGGTATTATTCGCACAGAATTACATTTAAGTATACTAACGAGTTCATATTCTAGAGAGTACCGGTCCGGCATGCCATGCTCCCACCGCATGCAGATCAAATGGAACACAAGTATATTAGATAGAAAATTTTATTTCACTGCAACGCAGACAGGTTCATTCACATATATGTAGGCCGAAAATAGTCCAAGATGAAAGTCTTTGTTTACGAAGTATCCCCCATCATTTCACGGAAACTGCCCAGTATCCAGATTGCGTCACATTTAAAAACTTCCACAATTCAAGCAAGCAGGGCTGAATGCCCACAACGGAAGTTATCCGGCATGACTAACTGGAGCATAAAATATCTGCAAGGTCATAAGTGAACTCACCTTCCCCTGTTGATGGATGTGGAATCAATTCCTACAACTGGTTATGCAGGTGTATCTGGCCATAAGTCGTAAAACACTCGTTAGTGTATTTCGAATATTATTGTCCGAATTCGAATACATCTGCTTACGGCTGAATTTAATTAACTGACAGACCTCAATACGACTCGACGTTTTTGAAAGTGATACAGATTAAATTCAATCACATAAATTAACCATTAACACAGTCAACATGCATGATCATATATGACTTAAATAAATAAATAAATAAATTTATTCTCATAGTACAGTACATAGGGACGCCAGTTTACAGGCATCATCAAATTGTTACAGAAATAGAACCATATAATTCAATCACAATTTACAGGCAGTAGCAAGATATGCTTTACATGTTCGCTGGAGATTATACATACACTTAATAAATGTTAATCCCAGTACTTTAAAACAGCCTTTTCACTTATATACAATCATTTCTGTGCAAGGTTGGAAAAATCTGCTAGATTGTCAGTGAGTGCAACACAACAGGAAATACAGGAGTATTGTCTTCGCATTAACAAAAATACCAGGTCTTTGGTGGATGGATTATAAGTGCCTGGGAAAAAAATAAAGCTTGAAGTAAATATTCATACATAACTTTGTTGTGTGCAGAGTCCTCGAATTATAGTTCATTGATGTGTTATTTTGAAATCAGTGATGTGTTTATCTCATAGTTTACACTTCTTTTGAAAATGTGGAGCACATTAATAATGCAAAAAATATCATTAACTGCCAGTAATTGTGTCATTGAATCACACTACGAGAATACCCTTGACAATACTTTGTAAGTAGTCTGAGGGACAAAAATGTTCGAGAGAAACTTATACACCATATTAAAATTCCATGGAAGTTTCTCGCTACGATGATATTTTTCTCATTCAGCAATTTCTCTCCTGAACGGGAACGCAGTGAATGCAAAATGTCCACAATGTTGGCAGTTTAGGAAATACTCGCTTATTTAAAGTTCTACCACGCATTCTTATCTTCCTCCCGGCAGCGGAAAGGTCCTTTTGCATAATGTCAAAAAAATTTCAGTTACATCTGTGCTGCATCTGCTCGCAACGACTATCTGAGATGAGATTCCAACAAGGTCTTAGTTAATTTGTACTCATTGTCGTCAAAACTAATCATAGTTTATCCGCAAGAAACACAGTATGTTAGACTACGGGAATGAGACGTTCTGACGCGGAAAATTTAGTACGCATACGTGAACTCGAGAAATGCATTGGGACCTACGGAATCATTATCACTGATAACCAGCAAAACGCCTAACCAGTCTAAAGAGATATTAGAAAGAAATAGGCTTGTGTTTGTCAAAAAACGGTTGAACAACGTTTGAATAGTCGAATTTTAAATTTATATTCACAGTTGTTTGCAAATGACGCATAAGAAAACTACACTAAGCCATCCACGATAGTAGCCACTTGTGGAACATCAGGAATCCAGTTTACCGCCGCTGTTCTGGCCAATGAAAGACAAGAGCACCAGAAGCGAGGTAAATTTAAAACGTGACAGCGTTTATCTTCACTCTGCTTGATGAAGTTAGCGTTTTCCAGGAGCATTTTATTAGGCCATAACTGACAACACATACAATTGCAGCAGAGGAAGGCACTGATGTCAGTAGATTTATTTGCTGAATCTAGTGGTTTCGTTGCATACTAAAGCATAAGAATTTGGCAGGAGTATCAGTTGACATTCTTAGGAATGCGTCCAACGTTCCGAAGAGGTGATAACTATATGCAACTTCAATTATTGCCTGATCACTGTTTTCAGCTAACCTTAACTTAGTATAAGGTACATGGCAGTGGGGTTAATCCTAATGAAAACGACATGGTTGATGCAGCATATACGTACCTATGCATAGACTATTCTTGTCGGAAAGGAGGTGTCGAACATCGAGCTAAGTAATGTTATAGATGTCAGCCTCCGGTTTTCTTAGTCGAAATACTCTGGGTCCCCATTCACTTTCAGAATTAATCTGGAGTTCAGTTGGAATAAACTAGTTGACCCTATCAGTATTGTGAGATTACAACAGTGAAAGTAAGTAAGCACTTCACTCATAAGACTTACTGGTACATTTTATTGATATATAAAAATGAATTCATCGCTAAAATAATAGCTATTATTGTTGTTAATACAGTCAACATGAACATGGACGCTATTATCACTACAACTATAGCCGTTGATAATGTTAATACATGTCATAAAGCCGTTATCATTCGTGCTAAAATTCCTGTACAAGCTTTGGGAATTAGTTCACAACTTGTTATTAGATAATCCTATCACTGCATGTTGCTACTGTGTGCCTGCAAGGGGCCTACCAACGATAGATTGTGAAGTTCCTTGAGTTTAATGGAAACTGTTTAGCCACATCTGTATATTGTTTGTAAAGTGATTACTTGTTATTACTCATCAGTCAGTCATCTGAAAAAATTTTGTATTCAGACCATAAATGTACTATCCAAGTTAGCTATGCTTTTCTTGAACACTTTCAGACTCCAATGGATAAACATGTCTACTGTGGTCGTGGGTAGAATCCGCTGACAGTAACAAAGGATTACTAATCACAATTATCTGAACAGCTGAAATCTGACTGTTGTGTGGTGAACACTTCTCCAATGAATCTGTGTTCCTCCTGTTGTAATGCGATTGTGTCCCAGCAACACCAGTAACACGCGCTAGTGTAGCAATTAAGG